ATAGCCCAAGGCCAAGCCAGGTCAAGCCCACACTGGAGCAGAGGGTGAGATTAGGGCTGGGGGCTTCGAGAAGGCTATCAGAGTCGAAGATGGGGTACTGGCTTGGTCACATCCTGGAAGAAAGGGTGAGCCAGGGCTGCCTTGGCCGAAATCCGCTTGTTAGGATCGTAGTGCAGCATTTGCTAGAGGGAGAGATGTATGTTGACTTCAATCATGTGTTAGTGGACTAAACGGGCAGCAGATGTTCCCAGAAATCAGGAAACCAGGACTCCTTCTACCCAAGGCGGAATTCTTACTTCCATCCTCCCATAGCTGAATCAGTGTGCCAACAGGGAGAGCAGGAACCAGGGAAACAAAATACTGAGGCCCAGATTTCAGGGTCTCATCCTTCCTTCATCCTGGAAAAGCCCTTCCCTGGGAGAAATGAATGAGGGAAAACAGGTGCCCACTCTCACCGATAACAAGCTCCGTCCATCTTCATCCAGGGGAGGTACAACTTTACTAAAATCTTGCCGGGCCCACTTGGGGAAACTTGGCTTGTAATCAGGCATAGAAGTAACTCCTGGCCACACCACCTCATCTGGGGTCCCCAGAGTCCGAAAGATCCGGAAGAGCTGGTCAATCTCAGAATCTCCAGGGAATAGGGCCCGGCGAGTCACCTGAAAATGGGGAAAGAGAAAATACCAAGACCTACGTTGACGTCAGTCAAAACTCTCCTCTATACAAAGGAGTTCCCACAGACAGTAGAAGGTCAGCAGGGCCCCATGACTCCCTCCCCAGGGCCTTTCATGGGGTCAGTCACACAGAACCTGAGACAATGAAGTCCCTTCATCTGTCTCCTCGCCCCCTCCTTCCTTCCCCCAACCATGGCTTTGCAGATCCCCAAGGCTGGGTGGGTCTGGGAGGGGCTGAATGTCTGCAATGCCACTGACATGTAGCAAAGGGATCCCAAGCCACTCACGGGGTATGGGGTAGACACTGCAGTCATCCCCCAACCTTGTGATGCAGCCACTTCTAGATAGGAGCACAGCGGGCAGAGGCTCTGTCTTCCATTTCTTCTGTGTTCCCCACAGTACCTAGCATGGTGCTGGCTACCCACTAGGTGCTTAACAAATATTTTTGGATGAATTGAGAGAGGAATACGGACAATTGTAAGGTAATGCACTGGGGGATAAATGCACATTACATATGTACGGGCTAATGGTCTTTAAGCTGTTGGTTATAACCCAGATAAAAGACAATAAAACATATTGCTGATTTGAAGCCTCAGCCTACTGCACTGCACTGTTGTATTAAAGGAGATAGGAGCTTCTACATAAAGCCAGGCCTCAAGGATCCTTCAATCTGAAAAGCCAGAGGTTGAAGGGAGACATGATCTAAATCTTTTTTTTTTTTTTTGAGATGGAATCTCGTTCTGTCGCCCAGGCTGGAGTGCAGTGGTGTGATCTTGGCTCACTGCAACCTCCATCTCCTGGGTTCAAGTGATTCTTCTGCCTTGGCCTCCCAAGTAGCTGGGATTACAGGTGTGTGCCACCACACCTGGCTAATTTTTGTATTTTTAGTACAGATGGGGTTTCACCATTTTGGCCAGGCTGGTCTCGAACTCCTGACCTCAGGTGATCCACCTATACCTCAGCTTCCCACAGTGCTGGGACTACAGGTGTGAGCCACTGCACTCTGCCTAAATCTACAATTTAAATGAAGGGTATGGATAAAGTGACCACAATTGTCTTTACTACATTGCTGGCACCACACAATAAGGTCTACAAGCCTTGAAATGAAGGCCTGAAATAAAAGAGGCACTAAATGGAATCATTCTCCCAAATATATGCAGACTCAGCTAAAACAGCTGCAGAAATGCTTTATGTCATTTCAGGGATAAGAGAAGTATACTAGGTACTAAGGCTGTTTGAGGATATCCTAACATTGTGGTTGATATTGGGGCAACAGTTGCATCCTTTCCCACCATTCCCCTTGGTGCTACTTTAGAGACAGAACCCTGTGATAGAAGGGCCATAGGTCTGGGCCAAGAAACAGTTCTGTTGTTCTTGAATGTGGGGAGGAGGGGGCTGGGTGAACTTGGGCAAGCCTCCATACCATCTCAGCAAAGATGCAGCCCAGGCTCCAGATGTCCACGGCTGTGGAGTAGTATTTGCAGCCCAGGAGGATTTCAGGAGCTCGGTACCACAGGGTCACCACCTGAGGGACAGGAACAGGGAGAGGTGGAGTGGTTTATAGGGTATGGAGATTCCCACATCTCAGTTCCCCAACACTACTCTGCTAACTCATGGCCTCTTAACAAGCAGTTTCCTTCCCTCCCTCTTTCCCCTCTCACTGATTTCCAGTCCATAGTTCTGGAGACCATATTTTCTGAACCCCCAATTTGAGATCTTCCTGGAAAAACTTGAGACAAATGGTCATAATTTGATTTTGAAATTTTTTCTTTTTGTAGATTTGTAGAGATGGGGTCTTGCTATGTTGCCCATGATGGTCTCAAACTCCTGGGCTCAAGTGATCCTCCCACTTCAGCCTCCCAAAGTACTGGTATTACAGGCGTGAGCCCAGTTAGCAACACAGTATGAATTCCATGCATGCCCTAAGACTCTTGAAGATGTCAAGAAATTATTTCTACCTAGTAAGAAACTGTTAGCCAGATATTTTTAGTAAATTTGTGAATACCCTAGTTAACACCTCTTGGGAAGCTCAGAGAAGAAAGGCATAAAGGGACTCACCTCATGGGTGTAAGTACGAACAGGGACTCCAAAAGCTCTGGCTAGTCCAAAGTCTGCTAGCTTGATAGCCCCCTCTGTGTTAATAAGCAGATTCTGAGGCTTAAGGTCTCGGTGGAGGACCCGATGAGAATGGCAGAAAGCTAGGCCCTGGAGCAGCTGGAACAGATAGCTCTGACAAAGAAGAAAGAGAGGACTGTGTTTCTCCATCACAGTGAGCAGACTGGGTTTGCTCTGTGACCCCAAAGCTCTACTAAAGCCTTTACTATGTTGGATTATAGTTACATATTTACAAGCTATTTCTCCCAATGGACTGTCAGCCCAGAGAGGATAAGGACCAAGTCTTACTCAATTTTGCTTCCCTTTTCTACATGCTGTGCATTGAACAAATGTTTGTTAATAAAGTAGCTCTGGGAGTGAAGAATCCAGCCCTAAAATAGACAATAGAGACTTACTAGCTGGTTCTTCCACCAAACAGAAGGGCTTTTTGGAGGAATTTACCAAGTGCTCTCAAATCCCATTTATCTGAGTTTCATCTGACCTCCCACCTGAGTTGCTAGGTTGACTCACTAGAGTTTCAACTTTGATTGTTCAGTCCAACCCTAGGGTTAATGAATATAATGAGCAGGGAAGGAGACACAAAAAGAAGGGGAGTGTGTGTGTGTAGGAGATGAAGGCTCAGAAGGAGGCCAAGATCATAAAATATCACCCTGAATTGCCTGCCACCAGTCCCCCAAGACATGCCCATGATGGGAGGAGCTGATGAGAAGCATTACCTTGATGAGGGGAAGAGGAATGCCAGTGAGAGCAGAGGCATCCATAAATTTCTTGAGATCTTGGTGCAGAAATTCAAAAACCAGGTAGAGTTTATTTTCTGTGTGAATGACATCCAGCAGCCTAGAGAAGTAAAGTTTGAGGAAATGGAGGTGCGAGAGAGAGAAAAGCCCACACTGTACAGACAACTCATCCTCCTTTCCAGCTGGATTGCCTCTCAGACACATACTCACTTGACAATATTAGGATGGTTAAGCTCCTTAAGCAGAGAGATCTCTCGGATGGCAGTACTGGGCACACCCTCAGTCTCACTTGGAGAGGTTGGGAAAGCAGAGATGGGAATATGGTTACAAATATTCCTTTTTCCCCCACCTAGTCATTTCTTTCCCCCAAGGAGACACCACCCAGCACCCCCTAGGAAAGTCAGAGAAAAGAAAGGGTGCTGGAAAGAGCTAATTCTTGGGTAGTCAGGGTGTGGCTTTTGCACATATTAAGGTCATTATCTCGTCTTTTCCCAGGGGTAGGTAAGTAAAGCCGTCTGGTGAAGGTGAAGCAGGGAGGCTGTAATGGGGAAAAAAAAAAAAAAAAAATTCAGGAGTAGCCCCCAGTCTCTCCAGAGGGGCCAGTGAGGTTCAACTGCCATTCTTTGGAAAGAGGAGAGAATTCTAAGGTGAGGGTGGGGCAGTGAGGAGAGCTCTTCATTCAGAAAGGCGCTCCTCGCCGGTTCCCACATAACTCTACTCCATGGAGAGTCTTGGACCTCATCTCGGAGGCCTCCTTTCTCTCCCCGAGTCTCTGTGTTCGCACATTTGGGGGCACGATCCGGCTCAGTTTGGGAAGAAAGTTTTCCATGGATTCCACACCATCCTATACTCTCCCCAGGGAGTATAAGTATACACTCCACCTTCTACTGGCCCCCAACCCACTTCTCCACTTCTAAAGAAGTCCGTCCCTGTTGTCTTCCGGTCCCTGGACGACTACCCGCCCGTGGGAGATTGGGGGGGGACAGTCAAGGAGGTCCCCAGTTAGGAGTCCCGGGTACAGAGGCCACTCACGTGTCCAGGCGGATTTTCTTAAGCGCCACCACTTCTCCCGTCAACTTGTTTCTGGCTTTGTACACAACTCCGTACGTGCCCTCTCCGATCTTTTCCACCTTTTGGAAGTTCTCCATGAAGCGCCAGCGAGTCGGGTCAGCCCGGCCCTGGAGTGGGGGCCTGGGAACCCTGCAGAAGGCGGACCCTGGCTCTCGGGGGCCGAGGAGGGGGAAACAGGGCCCAGTATCGTGCCCCCGGGTCGGGATGGAACGCAGTATACCTCTCGCTCTTGTCAATTTGGCCAACTTGAAACAATGTTGCCGCCTCCCCCCGAGTTCCCGACCGCCACCAGAAGCCCCGCCCCTGCTTCCCGCGTTTCCCTGGCTCCGCCCCCAGGCATTTCTATTGGTCAACGTCAGAGCCGGGGGGCGAGTGCAGCGCTCCTCCCCGCAAATGACCCCGCCCCAGGCAAGTTTGGTTCTTCGGGGGCTAGACAAATTTCTTTCTCGGTGGGGCGGCTGAACAGTCTTCCCAAGTACCTACTTTGGGTCCAAGTTTCCTACCTGTGTCTCTAGTCTGTAGGGATTTCTTGATTTCTAACTCACTATTTTCACCACTCCTGGGGAAAATATGTATCGACCTAAGGTTAAATTCCACCTGGCCCAGGAGCCTCCTTTGAAAAGCAGGAAACTAGGAATCTCGTTGTAAAGAATTCCTGGGCCTCAGAGGAGTCATTGCCTCTGCCTCATAGCCTACGCTGTCTCTGTTTTGGGATGCAGGGTTCTCTTTCTGTTTTTTTTGAGAAGTTCCTGGTTTAATTCACTCTCCCATGATGAACTGTTGTGTCTGGTATGTGTTATGCAGCTGCGTTTCAGTCAGCCCTTGCCCGGGAGTATATGAGAGTGACCCAGTGAAACCAGAAACTGCCATTGAGTAGCAGGATGGGAAAGCAATGTCTAGGGACCAGGATCCCTTTGTCAGTTTTTCCTTCTTCCTCTTCTCTGGCCCCTCCCAGGCCTTCTCTGAGGGAGAAGAGGAAGGGCTATGCAAATGAGCACCCTTTTCTTATATAGGGGCCTATCCCAGTCCCCCCAGTGCCTTTGGTTGCTGGAGGGAAGAACACAATGGATCTGGTGCTAAAAAGATGCCTTCTTCATTTGGCTGTGATAGGTGCTTTGCTGGCTGTGGGGGCTACAAAAGGTATGTGTGGATATGTGGACATGAGCAGGTGTGAACTTGGGGATGAATTCCCCCTGCTCTGGTTTCTCTCCTCCTAATGGGAGATAGCGGCAATATTTCAGGCGTCTCCCACTCATTTGATTTAGTGAGAATGTGGGCACCTGGGCTCCCTCCCTACATGGAGATTTGGGATTGAGCCTGAAAATAATCTCATATGCTTGGAGGGGCAGAAGAATAGAAGGTCTCTGTGGCACTGATTCTGAGGCTTCCTTGGCAGTGAGCTGGAGCAGGGGCTCCAAAGGGGTGAAATGTGCGGGAGACTCTTTTAAGAAATGTCTCTTGGGGTAGGAGATTTAAAGTGGGGAGTCAGAGAATGTAGTATTGGGTAAGAAGACTAAGGAGATACAATCCTCTCCCCTTGTGATGGGTACGGGTGAACACAGCCCAGACCTTTTGTTCTGGGGCTGGGAGAGATAGGCAGAGGGGTCTCAGCTGAGAATCACATGAAAGGGCTCTGGGGGATTGGGCCTCGTGACAGGAGCAAGGGGAGGGGTTGAGGTGGTGAGAGGGTCTGGAATGTCCCGTGCTGCTCTGAGGAGAGTTGGAAGTGGAGAATGAATGGGGTATCTTATGACTTCTCTTGCTCTAGTGGTGGGATGCTCAATGAGATGATTCCAGATCCTCCCCCAGCAGAATCAACTAGGGTTACAGCACACATTAGAAAGGGGATGAGGCCGGGCGTGGTGGCTCACGCCTGTAATCCCAGCACTTTGGGAGGCCGAAGTGGGTGGATCACGAGGTCAGGAGTTCGAGACCAGCTTCGCCAATATGGTGAAACCCCGTCTCTACTAAAAGTACAAAAATTAGCTGGGCATGGTGGCGCATGCCTGTAGTTCCAGCTACTCGGGAGGCTGTGGCAGGAGAATCACTGGAACCTAGAAGGTGGAAGTTGCAGTGAGCCAAGATCACGCTACTGTACTCCAGCCTGGGTGACACAGCGAATCTCCGTCTCGAAAAAAAAAAGAAAAGAAAGGGGATGAGGCCTGGCACAGTAACTCATGCCTGTAATCCTAGCACTTTGGGAGGCTGAGGTGGGTGGATCACTTGAGGTCAGACCAGCCTGGCCAATATGGCGAAACCCCATCTCTACTAAAAATACAAAAATTAGGTGGGCATGGTGGTGCGTCCCTATAATCCCAGCTACTTGGGAGCTGAGGCATGAGAATCACTTGAACCTGGGAGGCAGAGGTTGAAGTGAGCTGAGATCACACCACTGCATTCCAGCCTGGGCAAAAGAGCAAGACTCTGTCTCAAAAAAATAAAAAAGAAAGGAGATGAGGAGGCTCACACCTGTAATCCTAGCACTTTGGGAGGCCGTGGCCATAGGATTGCTTGAGCTCAGGAGTTCAAGACCAGCCTGAGCAACATAGTGAGACCCTGTCTCTACAAAAAGTAAAAAAATTAGCCAGGCCTAGGCCGGGCATGGTGGCTCATACCTGTAATCCTAGCACTTTGGAAGGCCAAGGCAGGTGGATCACCTGAAGTCGGGAGTTTGAGACCAGCCCGATCAACATAGAGAAACCCAGTCTCTACTAAAAATACAAAATTAGCTGGGCGTGGTGGCGCATGCCTGTAATCCCAGCCACTCAGGAGGCTGAGGCAGGAGAATCGCTTGAACCCAGGAGGCGGAGGTTGTAGTAAACCGAGATCGCGCCATTGCACTCCAGCCTTCCAGCCTGGGCGACAAGAGCGAAACTCTGTCTCAAAAAGAAAAAAATATATATTATCTGGGCCTGGTGGTGAGCACCTGTGGTCCTAGCTACTTGGGAGGCTAATCAGGAAGATGGCTTCAGCCCAGGAGTTTGAGGGTGCAGTGAGTGATAAATGTGCCACTGCACTCAGGGTGAGAGAGCAAAACCCTGTATCAAAAGGAAAGGAAAAGGAAAAGGAAAGGGGAAAGAAAAGGGGAAAGGGAAGGAAGTTTCTGCAGGAAAGGGAAAAATGGGGTGAGGGTAGTTTTTGCTATACAGATTGGAGGGGAGGGGAGAGAGGCTTCTGCAGGAAAGGGGAAAATGGGGTGAAAGTAGTTTCTGTTGTGCTGAAATATATGCATTATATCCCAGCCCCGCTTTCTCCCTAGATGCTTAGTCTCACAGATTTCTAGGAAGTTCTTGATCTGACTTTCCTCGCTGTGCTGCAGTTTCAAGTCTTTTTCTTTTACTACATTCCTTAATGTATCCCGGAAAGAGTGTGTTCACACCCACCCACCCAAGGCTCTTAAAAAAAGATTGTGCTTATATTTTGGATCCTGATTTTAAAAATCATAAGACATTTTTCTAGATATTCATGAAATTTTATATGGACTGAGTTTGATAATTTTGTCTAGCATGAAATGGCATTGTACTTATGCAAGAAAATACTCATATTTTTTAAATTTGTAGGGTTAAAATAATACAATGTTTGGGATTTGCTTTTACATACTTTAGCCAAAACAAAAACAACAACTAGTAAGGATAAACAAAGCAAATGCGGCAAGGTGTTGATAGTTGTTGGACCTGGGTAGGGCAGATGGAGGTCCAGCATATCCTTTTCTTCACAGACCTCTCTTGGTCAGTTACGATAATTTTGTCTACCCTGTCCCCATGCCCAATCTCTGCCAGCCTCTAATCCATCCTCCTCACTGCTTGCCATCATGATCTTTCTAAAACACAAATTTGATCATGTTCAAAAGTAAATTTTTTTTTTTGACACGGAATCTTGCTCTGTCGCCCAGGCTGGAGTGCAGTGGCGAGATCTTGGCTCACTGCCACCTCTGCCTCCCGGGTTCAAGCAATTCTCCTGCCTCAGCCTCCTTAGTAGCTGGAACTACAGGCACCTGCCACCATGCCCATCTAATTTTTGTATTTTTAGTAGAGACAGGGTTTCACTTGGCCAGGCTGGTCTTGAACTCCTGACCTTGTGATCCACCTGCCTTGGCCTCTCAAAGTGCTGGGATTATAGGCGTGAGTCACAGTGCCTGGCTAAAAATAAATTTTATGGCATGTGAATTATATCTTGATTTAAAACAAAACAGGTCAGGCACAGTGGCTCACACCTATAATCCCAGCACTTTGGGAGGCCAAAGCAGACGGATCACTTGAGGTCAGGAGTTTGAGACAAGCCTGGCCAAAATGGCAAAACCATGAAACATGGCAAAACTAAAAATACAAAAATTAGCCGGGTGTGGTGATGGGCGCCTGCAGTCCCAGCTACTTGGGAGGCTGAGGAACGAGAATTGCTTGAACCCAGAAAGCAGAGGCTGTAATGAGCCAAGATCACGCCACTGTATTCCAGCCTAGGGGTAGAGCAAGACTTCATCTCAAATAATAACAATAATAATAATAATAATAATAATAATAATAATAAGTAAATAAGGGTGTTTTTTGTTTTTTGTTTTTGAGGTGGAGTCTTACTCTATTGCCAGGCTGGAGTACACTGGGGCAATCTCGGCTCACTGCAACCTCCGCCTCCCGGATTCAAGCGATTCTCCTGCCTTAGCCTCCCGAGTAGCTGGAACTACAGGCGCACACCACCACACCCAGCTAATTTTTATATTTTTAGTAGAAACAGAGTTTTACCATTTTGGTCAGGATGGTCTTGATCTCTTGACCTTGTGATCTGCCTGCCTCAGCCTCCCAAAGTGCTGGGATTACAGGCATGAACCACCACGCCCAGCCGAATAAATGAGTTTTAAAAATGCACTTCGGCCAGGCACAGTGGCTCATGCCTGTAATCCCAGCACTTTGGGAGGCCGAGGCAGGCAGATCACCTAAGGTCGGGAGTTCGAGACCAGCCTGACCAACATGGAGAAACCCCATCTCTACTAAAAATACAAAATTGGCCGGGCGTGGTGGCACATGCCTGTAATCCCAACTACTCAGGAGGCTGAGGCAGGAGAATTGCTTGAACCTGGGAGGCAGAGGTTGCAATGAGCTGAGATCGTGCCATTGCACTCCAGCCTGGGCAATAAGAGTGAAACTCCATCCCCCCCCCGCAAAAAAAAGCACTTCGAATGTGAGAATGAATTGGGTGACATGAATAGAGTATTATCCCTGAAAAGGGACTGAAAGGATCCTAGGGCCCTTCATGGCACATTCCTTTTAGGACCCAGAAACCAGGACTGGCTTGGTGTCTCAAGGCAACTCAGAACCAAAGCCTGGAACAGGCAGCTGTATCCAGAGTGGACAGAAGCCCAGAGACTTGACTGCTGGAGAGGTAGGAACTTTGAAGTTCCAGGGGAGGGCATGGTAGGAATGGGATGAGGAAAAAAGCAAGATGACCTGCGCTGATTGTAGCTTGGGAAGAAAGGGAGAGGAAACATATACAGGGAGGGGAAGCCCAGGAGTCCCAGCTAATGTAGCTTTCCTTCCCAGGTGGTCAAGTGTCTCTCAAGGTCAGTAATGATGGACCTACACTGATTGGTGCAAATGCCTCCTTCTCTATTGCCTTGAACTTCCCTGGAAGCCAAAAGGTATTGCCAGATGGGCAGGTTATCTGGGTCAACAATACCATCATCAATGGTGAGTACTTCTCTATTCTAGGTCCTTATTCCTAGGGCTCAGGTTCCCTGGTATGCCCAGTGAGCTCAGGGAATGCCCCTTCCTCCTCTACTTTTTTGTTTTTGTTTTTGTTTTCGAGACGGAGTCTCGCTCTGTCACCCAGATTGGAGTGCAGTGGTGCGATCTTGGCTCACTGCAAGCTCCACCTCCCAGGTTCACGCCATCCTCCTGCCTCAGCCTCCCGAGTAGCTGGGACTACAGGCACCCACCACCATGTCTACTTTTTTTTGTATTTTTAGTAGAGACGGGGTTTCACTGTGTTAGCCACGATGGTCTTGATCTCCTGACCTTGTGATCCGCCCACCTTGGCCTCCCAAAGTGCTGGGATTACAGGTGTGAGCCACCACGCCCAGCCTCCTCCTCTACTTTTTAAAACAAGTTATATATGTAATACATACTCATTGTAGTTAAAATTTTAAAACACAGAGAAGGCTGGGCGCAGTGGTTCACACCTGTAATCCTAGCACTTCGGGAGGCCAAGGCAGGCAGATCACGAGGTCAGGAGATCGAGACCATCCTGGCTAACACGGTGAAACCCCATCTCTGCTAAAAATCCAAAAAAAACTAGCCAGGCATGGTGGCAGGCGCCTGTAGTCCCAGCTATTGGGGAGGCTGAGGCAGGAGAATGGTGTGAACCCAGGAGGCGGAGCTTGCAGTAAGCCGAGGTCGCGCCGCTGCACTCCAGCCTGGGCGACAGAGCAAGACTCCATCTCAAAAAAACAAAAACAAAAACGAAAACAGAGAAAGCGGCCGGGCGCGGTGGCTCAAGCCTGTAATCCCAGCACTTTGGGAGGCCGAGATGGGCGGATCACGAGGTCAGGAGATCGAGACCATCCTGGCTAACACGGTGAAACCCCGTCTCTACTAAAAAAATACAAAAAACTAGCCGGGCGAGGTGGCGGGCACCTGTAGTCCCAGCTACTGGGGAGGCTGAGGCAGGAGAATGGCGTAAACCCGGGAGGCGGAGCTTGCAGTGAGCTGAGATCCAGCCACTGCACTCCAGCCCCGGCGACAGAGCCAGACTCCGTCTCAAAAAGAAAAAAAAAACAAAAACAAAAAAAAAACAGAGAAAACAAAAAGAAAAGAAAATTACAGCTGTAGTCCCTGCTACTCAGGAGTCTCAGGTGGGAGGATCATGAGCCTGGGAGGTCAAAACTGCATGATCATGCCACTGCACTTCAGCCTGGGTGACAGAGTGAGACCCTGTCTCAAAAAGCAAAAAGAAAAGAAAATTACAGTCCCTAAAGTGGAGGACAGCAGAATTCAGCGGACCTAGAAGTTGAACAGACCTATATTTAAACTTGTCCTTGATATGTGACCTTGGGCAAGTTACTTGTTTTGTGTTTCCCTTTTTTTTTTTTTTTGTTCTTTGAGACAGAGTCTGGCTGTGTCGCTCAGGCTAGAGTGCAGTGGCAGGATCTCAGCTCACTGCAACCTCCGCCTACTGGGTTCAAGTGATCCTCCCTCCTTAGTCTCCTGAGTAGCTGGGGGTAGCCTCCTGAGTAGCTGGTACAGGCGCATGCCACCATGCCTGGCTAATTCTTTTATATTTTAAGTATAGACGGGGTTTCACCATGTTACCCAGGCTGGTCTCAAACTCCTGAACTCAAGTGATCTGCCCACCTCATTGTGTTTCCATTTCCGAAGAAAAAAGGATTGTTGTAAGGATTAGAATGTGATAATATGTGTAAAGTATTTAATGTAGTGTCTGCTGCAGCCTACAGTAAAGGCTAAATAAATGTTATCTAGTGCTGTTATTTATTTATGTATTTATTTATTTATTTATTTATTTATTTATTTTGAGACGGAGTCTCGCTCTGTCGCCCAGGTTGGAGTGCAGTGGTGCAGTCTTGACTCACTGCAGCCTTCACCTCCCAGGTTCCACCGATTCTCCTGCCTCAGCCTCCTGGGTAGCTGGGATTACAGGCTCCCACCAGCACGCCTGGCTAATTTTTGTATTTTTAGTAGAGACAGGGTTTTACCGCGTTGGCCAGGCTGGTCTCGAACTCCTGACCTCAGGTGATTTAACCGCTTCAGCCTCCCAAAGTGCTACGATTACAGGTATGAGCCACTGCGCCTGGCCCCTAGTGCTATTATTTTTATTCCACTAGCTAGAGCAAATCACTCTAAATATTTTGATATGTGGCTATGTATATACATATATACACATACACATATATCTTCTTTTTGTTTTCTTTCTTTCTTCTTATTTTATTTATTTATTTTAGAATCAGGGTCCTTCTCTCTCTCCCAGGCTGGCGTACAGTGGTGCAATCATAGCTAATTGCAGCCTCAACCTCCTGGGCTCAAGTGATCTTCCTTCCTCAGCCCCTGGCGTAGCTGGAACTACAGGTGCATACCACCACACCTGGCTACTTTTTAAAAAATGTATTTTGTAGAGACAGGGTCTCGCTATGTTGATCAGGCTGGTCTTGAATTCCTTGCCTCAAGCAATCCTTCCACCTCAGCTTCCCAAAGTGCTGGGTTTACAGCCATGAGACACCACACCTGGCCAATTAAATTATAGCTTCCGGCCAGGCACAGTGGTGCATGCCTATAAACCCAGCACTTTGGGAGGCTGAGGCGGGAGGATTGCTTAAGCCCAGGAGTTCAAGACCAGCCCTGGCAACATAGCAAGACCATGTCTCTACAACAAAATAAAATTAGCTGGGTATGGTGGTGCATACCCGTAGTCCCAGCTACTCAGGAGGATTGCTTGACTCTGGGAGGTTGACACTGCAGTTAGCTGTGATCACACCACTGCACTCCAGCCTGGGCATCAGAGGAAGACCCTGTCTCCAAAAGAAAAATGTAGTTTCCACACCCTCAGCCCCCAACTGCCACCTCAAATGGTTATACCATGGAGAATGTACTTTCTAGCTAGGGAATATTCCCAGAGCCCCTCTCTGATACCCTGGGAACAATTTTAGGGGTTTTGGTATATAAAAAAGAATGCCAGGGTTTGAGAGTGACTCTGTATTTACCTTTCAGGGAGCCAGGTGTGGGGAGGACAGCCAGTGTATCCCCAGGAAACTGATGATGCCTGCATCTTCCCTGATGGTGGACCTTGCCCATCTGGTCCTTGGTCTCAGAAGAGAAGCTTTGTTTATGTCTGGAAGACCTGGGGTGAGGGACTCCCTTCTCAGCCTGTCATCTACACTTGTGTTTACTTCTTTGTACCTGATCACCTTTCTTTTGCCCGCCCCTTCCACCTTAACTTCTGTGATTTTCTCTTATCTTCATTTTCCTCTTACATCTTTTCTCTTCCATAGCACCTAGCCCCCTTGAACTCTATCATAATTCTTTCTGGCAGCTTTTCCTCAATTATAGTCCTACCCCATGGAATGCCTCATTAGGACCCCTTCCCTGTCCCCCAATATCACAGCCTTCCAAACACCCTCAGAAGTAATCATACCTCCTGACCTCCCATCTCCAGTGCCCTGTTTCTAAGCCTGTCCCTCAGTCCCCTTTGACCAGTCATCTCTTCTTCCTTTCCTTTCATTCCAAAAACTTCAGGCCAATACTGGCAAGTTCTAGGGGGCCCAGTGTCTGGGCTGAGCATTGGAACAGGCAGAGCAATGCTGGGCACACACACCATGGAAGTGACTGTCTACCATCGCCGGGGATCCCGGAGCTATGTGCCTCTTGCTCATTCCAGCTCGGCCTTCACCATTACTGGTAAGGGTTTAGGAAGGGGCAAGGCCAGTCATAGGGCAAGAGAAGGCAGGGAGGCTTGGATGGACTGGAAAGGGGAAAGGTGAAATGCTGTGCAAACTTAAAGTAGAAGGGCCAGGAAGACCTAGGCAGAGAAATGTGAGGCTTAGTGCCAGTGAAGGGCCAGCCAGTCAGCTTGGGGTTGGAGAGTGTGGCTGTGAAGGGAGAAGTTGTGGCTCAGGCCTAGTTCTCACCTTTTCTGGCTCCAATCCCAGACCAGGTGCCTTTCTCCGTGAGCGTGTCCCAGCTGCGGGCCTTGGATGGAGGGAACAAGCACTTCCTGAGAAATCAGCCTCTGACTTTTGCCCTCCAGCTCCATGACCCCAGTGGCTATCTGGCTGAAGCTGACCTCTCCTACACCTGGGACTTTGGAGACAGTAGTGGAACCCTGATCTCTCGGGCACTTGTGGTCACTCATACTTATCTGGAGCCTGGCCCAGTCACTGCCCAGGTGGTCCTGCAGGCTGCCATTCCTCTTACCTCCTGTGGCTCCTCCCCAGTTCCAGGCACCACAGATGGGCACAGGCCAACTGCAGAGGCCCCTGACACCACAGCTGGCCGAGTGCCTACTACAGAAGTCGCGGGTACTACACCTGGTCAGGTGCCAACTGCAGAGCCCTCTGGAACCACATCTGTGCAGGTGCCAACCACTGAAGTCATAAGCACTACACCTGTGCAGATGCCAACTGCAGAGAGCACAGGTACGACACCTGAGAAGGTGCCAGTTTCAGAGGTCATGGGTACCACACTGGCAGAGATGTTAACTCCAGGGGCTATAGGTATGACACCTGCAGAGGTGTCAATTGTAGTGCCTTCTGGAACCACAGCTGCACAGGTAACAACTACAGAGTGGGTGGAGACCACAGCTGGAGAGCTACCTACCCCTGAGCCTGAGGGTCCAGATACCAGCTCAATCATGTCTACGGAAAGTATTACAGGTAAGAGGACCAGTGTGAATGAGGTTCATGGAGGTGGGGTACCCTACTCTACTCTATAAGTCTTACCCAGGACTCAGACATTACCTAATCCTTTGCTTAGCACTGTGGTCCCCTCAGAGCTCTCACTGGCCTGGCTATAAAGCCCTCCAGTCTCTATTAATGACACGGAATAGATCTGGAGTTCAGGAAACCAAAGTCTTCCCCTAGGCCATGAGAGAAGAGCTTGTTGCTTTCTCTACTGCTGAGAATGGTTGGCGAGACCAGGGAACAGACTGTGATCATTTACATAATATTTATAGCTCATTTTCTGTTCAAGCATAATTGCACAGAAATCCTTCCCAGATTCCGAGATCCTGATCCTTCCATTTCCCAACCCTGGATTCCCATCCCAAAGCAAAAAGGGAGGAATGAAATAGTGATGCTTGAATGAGTTAACACATGTTGAATGTCTAGCCTAGGACCTGGCATAGTGTGAGATGTGATAAACATTTGAGAATTTTTTAAAACTCCAGTGCCACCCCTAACTGTGATTCTGGAGGAGTCATTTTCTTCTTCTAGGCTTCAGTTTCCTTATCTATAGAATAAAGTTTACCAGGTCTTATCTGATTCCAAGCCAGTGACTCTAGAATCCAGTAACTCTGGTTCAACCTGAAAAAATGCCTGCTTGGCCTCTGCCTCCAGATGAGTCATCTGTCTCTTGATCTTGCCTCCTCAATCCTCTCCTGCCAGGTTCCCTGGGCCCCCTGCTGGATGGTACGGCCACCTTAAGGCTGGAGAAGAGACAAGTCCCCCTGGACTGTGTTCTGTATCGATATGGTTCCTTTTCCGTCACCCTGGACATCGTCCGTGAGTCCTGCCTACTTTGGGGGCTGATGGAGGCAGCTGTGTGCTGCCTAGGGCTGGTCAGTGGAAGCACACCTTGGGAGGAATTACTCACCTACATAGGAAGAATACCCAAATGCCAGAGTCCTCATTTGAAAGCACAGGGATGAGATTGGTGGAGCAGCCCTGGGGCTTTCCTGTCTATGGGCTTTTGGGGAGGCCAGGTAGAGGAATCCTAACTTGATAATCTTGCAACTCTGCAGAGGGTATTGAAAGTGCTGAGATCCTGCAGGTTGTGCCATCCAGTGAGGGAGATGCATTTGAGCTGACTGTGTCCTGCCAAGGGGGGTGAGTGTCCCACTAGTGTGCTGATAACTCTTGGGTTGACTGTTTCTCTGCTCTCTGGCATTTAGTGTCCCTTCCCAGATCCCCTTATATATTGTGACACCTCTTCCAGGCTGCCCACGGAAGCCTGCATGGAGATCTCATCGCCAGGGTGCCAGCCCCCTGCCCAGCAGCTGTGCCAGCCTGTGCCACCCAGCCCAGCCTGCCAGCTGGTTCTGTACCAGATACTGAAGGGTGGCCTGGGGACATACTGCCTCAATGTGTCTCTGGCTGATGCCAACAGCCTGGCAGTGGTCAGCACCCAGCTTATCATGCCTGGTAGGTCCTTGGACAAGAGCTAAGATGACGAAGGGAGTGGATAGAGGGCAGCTGGCAAGGAGCAGACACTGAATGAAGCAGTGCCTGGGATTCTTCTCACAGGTCAAGAAGCAGGCCTTGGGCAGGCTCCCCTGTTCGTGGGTATCTTGCTGGTGTTGATGGCTGTGGTCCTTGCATCTCTGATATATAGGTAAGAGCCTCATCACACAGCTCAGACCCCCTTATCCCTTGTTATCACTACTCACTCTTCCTCAAGGGAGAAGAAACCATCTCTCCCTTTAAGGAAGCATGGTGTCCAGGAAAGAGCCTAGTCTTGTACGTTAGCCAGACTTGGGCTGCAGTCTTGTTTGTGGGACCTGGGGAAGTAGCTTAACCTGTCTAAGCCTCTGAAAAGTAGGTAAACTAATACTTGCCCTGTGGAGCTGCTGTAAAGATTAGAAACAATGAGTAAAGCACCTGGCTCTGAAGCAAGAGTGCAATAATTGATATTCGTGACTGTTGTTAATAATATGAAGAGTGGGGGCAGTTTGGGTAAACTGAGTTTTCTTTTTCTTTTTTTTTTTTTTTTTGAGACGGAGTTTCACTCTTTTTGCCCAGGCTGGAGTATAGTGGCATAATCTCGGCTCACTGCAACCTCCACCTTCCAGTTTCAAGCGATTCTCCTCCTTCAGCCTCCTGAGTAGCTGGGATTTCAGGCACCTGCCACCACACCCGGCTAATTTTTGTATTTTTAGTAGAGACAGGGGTTCACCATGTTGGCCAGGCTGGTCTCAAACTCCTGACCTCGTGATTTGCCTGCCTCGGCCTCCCAAAGTGCTGGGATTACAGGAGTGAGCCACCATGCCCAGCCTGGGGTAAACTGAGTTTTCTACCTGCAAGAAGGGCAGATCCCCCAGGCCTGGGGTGGCATGATCCTCAGGCAGGGAAGCTTATGGAGTGAGGGAGGAATGCACAGAGGTTACCACAGAAATAAGAGAGGGTAAACCTTGGAGTTGAGGAGAAGGGGAGGGAGCTAGGATCAAGGCTAAGCAGACTGGGATATAGGTGTGTTCCCTTCTTTGGAGAAGCACACAGACAAGCTACTTTTGTCCATTGCTAACCAGTTTATCCCTTCTCCCAATATCAGGCGCAGACTTATGAAGCAAGCCTTCTCCATTCCCCAGCTGCCACATAGTAGCAGTCACTGGCTGCGTCTACCCCGCATCTTCCGCTCTTGCCCCATTGGTGAGAACAGCCCACTCCTCAGTGGGCAGGAGGTCTGAGTACTCTCATATGATGCTGTGATTTTCCTGGGTTGACAGAAACACCTATATTTCCCCCAGTCTTCCCTGGGAGACTACTATTAACCGAAATAAATACTCAGAGCCTGATGCTGGTTTTTCGGTCGCTTCTTGGGAGAATCTATGTCATTTAAGGAGTGAAGGTATAAAAGAAGGATGTGTACCACTTACTTAGCAGATCCCAAAGGGGAAACACAAGTCATTTTATTCAGATGAGGCACTTTCAATGTATGTGTTTTGGGGTGTGTGTATGTGTGTGCGCAGGGGGAACAGTGAGGTGGTGCAGGATAATAAATACTGTAAGGGTGAAGGAACACTCCCCCAAGCTGGCAGGAGTGTGTGGCAGCAATGTACAGAGCCTCGGGAGTAGAGTCCAGGAATAGGGAGGTGGGTTCACGGCTGGCTTGGAGGCCAAGGGTGTCCCCTTTAGCTCAAGAAGCCAAAGAAATTGGTGGAGCGGGGGGGTGGGCCCATGAGCATGGGCATCTGGTTCTTGTGGGTGATCTTGATCTGGAAGGGAAGGGAGCACATTCAGAGGCAGGACCTGATGCTTTGGGGCTGTGACTTCAGAGATTTGGAGGGAAATCTGTGGGGTTTGGGGTAGGTTTCTAGGTTCCTAGAGAGGCCACAATAGGGAAACCAGGGGCTGAGAAATCAAGGTTTAGAATGAATGATGTACAGGGGAAGTTCAGGCATTGGAAGGGTGTAAAGAAGCTGTGGAATGGGGATTTGGGATCCATAGATCCCAAGGGTTTAGTTTTTGGCTGGGATCGTCAATACTCACTGTACAGGGCGTCTGCATCCAGGGTTCTCCATCAATTTGCATGGGAAGGGTTTTTGTGGTGCTATGGGAGACCAAGGAACGTTGGTGATTTCCTTACTAATTGAATACCAAAACTCTGCTTCTCAGGTTGACTTTGAGACCTTCTGTCACTAAGGGAGATCTGGTAAAGCTCCTCCCCACCATTCCCATGACTCTTCTGCTGCCCCAGCCCCACATCTTCCCTCAGGGACCCTGGTGGAGTCTTCCTTACTGGAAGGTGATCTCAGAGCACTTGGCCAGCCGACGTCCCGCATTCTTGAGCTTGGTATAGATTTGGCCCATCTCAATTGCACCTTCCAGCCCGACTACTTCCAGTCTCTTGTCACTTAGGTCTGGGGAGGAAGTAGGGAGTTAAGTTTTACACAAATAGGGTATCCCCATAGGGAGTCACACTTTCCCTTGGTCCTGCCCACTCAGCTCCGAAGGCTGCTCCTCTCACCTGGTACACAGGTTTTCAGGATATCAGGGTCGGTGATGACTTTAGCTGTAGCACCTAAGGCCTGGTTGATCCCATAGATATCCCCGTGGGGTTTCCTGGTATCACCCCAGAGGTTGGAGCCACCATGCATGCTAGGGATGTTTAGCACTGCGATGCCTTCTAGGGACAGGTTGCTCAGATCCAGCGGTTTCCCACATATCTGAGGGGAGGGGCACAGTCCCAGTTAGGGAGGGTACAGATCCTCACCTCATGGCATAATCATAGATGTGATCACTCCCTCCACCAGATGACAAACTGGGGGAGGCAGGATTTGGAGATATGCAAGGGATGAAAATTGGGACTAGTGTATCTTGAGGACTTGGAGAATTGGAGTAGGAGAGCTGGGAGGTCAAAGAAGTATAGGTTCAAGAATATGGGAAGTTCCTAAGGGTGCCATGGAGGGAGAAACTTGGCTATTAAGAAGCTGAAAAGGATGTAGGGTTGAATCTTATTACACACACCTCAACTGTCAAAGACTCCTCCAGCTTTTTGCATGTTGAGAAGATGGATTCAGATGTGGCAAATTCGAAGTACCATAGCTTGTTCTTCATTCTGTGTCAGCCCCAACACAAGGCCCAGTAGGGAGGGACAGGTTACACAGTGCTGGTGGGGGTGGTAAGTGACAGGGAAGGGCATCAACCTCCTAACTTTAGTCCCATGGGGAACAAGGGTAGCTTTGGTTGGGGGATCTCCTAGAGGTGCCACTGCTCTTCTAAGCAATCTGAGTCAAACTTGGTCACAACCTGGCTCCTGACACTGTATGCCCACACCCCCCTCTCTTTTCCCTCACCTGCTGTTGAACTTCTCAGGATATTTCTCTCGCATGATGTGGAATCGATGAGCGATAGAGGCATCCTGGAGAGTTCAGGACATGAAGGTCAGTACAGAGCTCGCTATCTCCCTCCCCATCTCCCCTCTCTCCCAAGTCCCCATGTTGCTCCCCATAGCATGTCCCAAGATCTTCTCTTGCAACTCACACCACTGTACTGCACTCCCGATTTCCCTGTGTCACAGGTCACTTAACCTCCCCTCTCCCTTTCTGCTCTCCTCCAGCCTCTGACTGCTTGGCCCCCACTTTCTTCCTTCTCCCCAAGCCCCATTCCACTGACCACACCAATGGAGAAGTAGTTATTGATGATTTGAAAGGGGACGGGGTCACTCTTTTCTTCAGTTTGTTGAGGTATCACCTCCACGGACCATCGATCCATATGTACCACTTTACTCGTCTCTAAATCCTTGAGGATCTTTGCCAGATTCTGTCCTTCATATCCTAGGAGTGGAGAAGATAGGTTAGCACTGAGCTCTGGGTCCCAGAGAGGCCTCTTCTCAGCTCCCAGCTCCACAAATTCCCAGGGGCCTTCTGCCCTGTTTCTGCAGAGCCTCCCAGCCCTAGCCAGTGACAGAGCAGAGTGCATGGTCACAGCTCCTAAGGACCTTTCCTCTATACTGTGTGGAGGGTGAATGTTTCCAATGTGTGTGGATATGCAAAGATGGCACCAACAGTCATCGGGAAGGTTGGAGAGAATAGCCAGGGGAATGCTGAAAAAGATGGGTGACAAATAGGGATAATCCTCTCACACTCGACCCCTGATGCTTTCACTCCCCATTCAGACAGACCACAGTATAAAGCAACCATGTGTAAACGGTGTTATACAGGCAGAGTGAATGGAATAAAAGGTTCGATAGTAAAGAATAGAGAGCCCCCAAATAGACTCAAGTATATATGGAAATTTAGTATGTGATGTCATTTCAAATAAATGGGGAAAAGATAGATTATTCAATAAATGGTGCTGGGGAAAGGGAGGAGCGGAATGAAAAACTACCTTCTGGGTTCTATGCTCGCTACCTGCACGACGTGACCATCCATACCCTAAACCTCCCAAAGTGCTGGGATTATAGGTTACCTGTGCCCAGCCAGAATTTGTACTAGAAGAAAACATTAGTAAATGTTTTTATAATCTTTGAATGGATACAACACTAGAAGCCCAAAAGAAAAAGATAGATAAATATAATTATGTTAAAATTTAAAACTAGACGGACATGGTAGTGCTCATAATCCCAGCTACATGGCAGGAGGATTGCTCGAACCCAGGAGTTCGAGACCAGCCTGGTCAACATAGTGAGACCCCATCTCAGAAAACAAACAAGGCCAGGCGCAGTGGCTCACTCCTGTAGCCCCAGCACTTTGGGAGGCTGAGGCAGGTGATCACTTGAGGCCAGGAGTTTGAGACCAGCCTGGACAACTTGGGAAAACCTCATCTCTACAAAAAATATAAAAATTAGCCAGGTGTTGGTGGCTCACGCCTGTAATCCCAGCACTTTGGGAGGCTGAGGCAGGCGGATCATGAGGTGAGGAGATCAAGACCATCCTGGCTAACATGATGAAATTTTATCTCTACTAAAAATACAAAAAATTAGCCGGGTATGATGGCAAGTGCCTGTAGTCCCAGCTACTCAGGAGGTTGAGGCAGGAGAATGGCGTGAACCCAGGAGGCAGAGCTTGCAGTGAGCCGAGATCGCGCCACTGCACTCCAGCCTGGGTGACAGACGAGACTTTGTCTCAAAAAAAAAAAAAAAAAAAAATAACCAGATGTAGGCTGGGCACAATGACTCACGCCTGTAATCCCAGCATTTTGGGAGGCCGAGGCAGGCAGATCACGAGGTCAGGAGTTTCAGACCAGCCTGGCCAACATGGTGAAGGCTGGGTGCAATGACTCACGCCTGTAATCCCAGCATTTTGGGAGGCCGAGGCAGGCAGATCACGAGGTCAGGAGTTTCAGACCAGCCTGGCCAACATGGTGAAACCCCAACTCTACTAAAAATACAAAAAAATTAGCAAGGCATGAGTGGCAGACACACCTGTAATCCTTTACTTGGGAGACTGAAGCAGAATCACTTGAACCCCGGAGGCGGAGGTTGCAGTGAGCCGAGTTCACGCCACTGCACTCCAGCCTAGGTGACAGAACAAGACTTCGTCTCAAAAAAAAAAAAAAAAAAAAATTAGCCCAGATGTAGGCTGGGCGCGTGATGCAGCTTCGCCTGCAATCCCAGCATTTTGGGAGGCCGGGCAGGCAGATCCAAGGAGTCAGGAGTTTCAGCCAGCCTAGCCAACATGGTGAAACCCCAACTCTACGAGGCCGAGGCAGGCAGATCACGAGGTCAGGAGTTTCAGACCAGCCTAGCCAACATGGTGAAACCCCAACTCTACTAAAAATACAAAAAAATTAGCAAGGCGTGGTGGCAGACACCTGTAATCCCAGCTACTTGGGAGGCTGAGGCAGGAGAATCGCTTGAACCCAGGAGGCGGAGGTTGCAGTGAGCTGAGATCACGCCACTGCACTCCAGCCTTGGCAACAAGAGTGAAACTCTCTCAAAAAAAAAATTAGCCAGGTGTGGTGGCATGTGACTGTAGTCCTGGCTACTCTGAGGTGGGAGGATTGCATGAGCCTAGGAGTTTGAGGTTGTGGTGAGCTGTGATCTCACCACTGTACTCCAGCATGGGCAGCAGAGCAAGACTATCTCAAAACAAAGAAAAAAACAAAAAACAAAAAAGGAAAAATGGGCAAATAATACAAACAAGTCTATAATAGAAGAAAAAATACAAATGGCCAATATGCATAGGAAAGGTGCTCAGTATTACTAACAATTTCAAGAACCATAATTAAAACAATTAGCTAACTTTTGTTGCCTATCAGGTTGGCAAAGTATAAGGAGATTCAGAAAACCAAGTGCTAATGAGTTTATGAATAAATTAGCATTCTCATTTGCTGTTAGCTATGGCATGACTTG